GGCGGGCGGCACGAGCCCTGCCCCGGCCCGCCGCCGTGCGGAGCCGCCCCAGCCGCGCCTGGCGCTGGAGGAACCTCCTGGTCTCGTTCGCACATTCCGTGCTGGCCGGGCTATGGGCCCTCTTCAGGTACCGAGCACCGGGAGAGGGGGGCGGGCAGGGGCACGGGGACCCCCGGGGGCACGGCTCCGGGCGCTGCCCTACGGGAAGAAGCACAAGGGGAGGGCAAGGGGGGGGCGCTACGGGTCCCCATGCCCCCCACCCCAGCAGCCGGGCTGACCCCTTTCTCCCCCAGCCTCTGGCACTCCCCGGAGCTGCTCTCTGACATCCAGGACGGCTACAGCATCTCAGGGCACCTGCTGGTCTGCTTCTCCTCAGGTAAGGAATCACCCCACCAGGCTCTGCCCGCTCCCCCTCCAGGATGAGCCCCTGGCTCCCAGGCTGGGCCACTCTGGGTGCCTCCTGCCTTAATGATGGGTCTGGAGCCCCCAGGTTGCTGCCCCCAGCCCCCTCCCCACACTCAGCCAGGGCAGAGGCATTGCCAACACCTGGAGCCACAGTCACACCACTCTCCTCATCCTCAGTGCTGCCCCTTACCCCAGTGTGTGAGCCAGACCCCTCTCCAATGTCTCCTTCATCCCATAGGCTACTTCATCCACGACAGCCTTGACATCATCTTCAACCACCAGTCCCGCTCATCTTGGGAGTACCTGGTGCACCACGCCATGGTGAGTGCAGCCCTGGGGAGGTGAAGGGTCCTCACAGGGGGGCGACCACGCACCCCGAGGCTCAGCCCATGCAGGTTTTGGGTGCTACAACCAGAGCCCCTCCCTCCTCCTCACCTTGTCTGCCAAGGTGAGGCTGCCTGGTGGGGCGGGCCCCCTGCCAGCATCAGCTCCAAGCACCTGGAGCCAGACAGGCTGCCACGCCAGGCCAGAGCCGGAGGCTGGTCTCAGCTCCCCACAAAGGCAGGTGGAACTGGTCCCAGAGTTCTCCAGACTGGTTTTCCCTTGGCCCAGGTGCCTGAGGGGCTGCCAGGATCTCAGGGTTTGGGGGAAACAGCACCACATGTGCTCAGACTTTGGTGGGGAAGGACTCACCTCCCCCAGAGCCAGGAGAACTGACCCTGCTGTGTGTCCCACCCCCACTCCCAGGCCATCTCAGCCTTTGTCTCGCTCATCATCACGGGCCGTTTCCTGGTGGCAGCCATGCTGCTGCTGCTGGTGGAGGTGAGCAACATCTTCCTCACCATCCGCATGCTGCTGAAGATGAGCAACGTGCCTTCCCCGGCGCTCTACGAGGCCAACAAGTACGTCAACCTGGTGATGTACTTCGCCTTCCGCCTGGCCCCCCAGTCTTACCTCACCTGGTACTTCCTCCGCTACGTGGAGGTGCAGGGCCAGGGTGCCTTCCTCACTGCCAACCTCCTGCTGCTCGATGCCATGATCCTCATGTACTTCTCCCGCCTCCTCCGCTCCGATTTTTTCCCTTCCCTGCGCAAGGGCTCTGCAGGGAGAGACGTGGATGGTGAGAAGTTTCTGATAGACTGAGACGTGCGCACCAAGGGTGGGGGACCCGGGCTCCGGTTCCTGGAGGTCTTGGGCTCTCCACACCTGCTCTGATGTGCCTTAGGGCTCATTCCCTGGCCCTGCCTTCACCCGCTCTGCTGCCTTAAAAATGCTTCCCTGCCAGACCAGCCTGACAGCCTCACCAAGCTGCAGGGATGCCACTGTAGCCAGGAGCATGGCTGATGGAGAAGCAGCCCAAGCTGGCTTCCATGCAGGCAGCTGGAGGGCCAGGAGTGGCTGCATTTTGCCCGAGAGGGTGGTGAGGGATGGGAGGAGTTCCCTCCCGTGGTGATGTGGGGTGTTATGTGCATTAAAATCAGTCTGATCACTGCTGCCGCAGCACGCCTGGGCTGGCTCTTCTGTGGCAGAGCAACGTGGGGGGCACGATGGGGGGGGGATAAGGCTGTGGGGAAGGACGTACCCCTGTTCCCAGTGGAGGGCTGGCAGGACTTGGGGAGGGAGAGGACACATTTCTGCCACTCACTTTGTTCTAGGACCCTCCAGGGATGCATTCGGACCTGCTGGGTCCTGCAGCCCAGCTGCACCATGCTGAGCTTGAAAGAGCAAAACCCCATCCCTCCCTTGGATGTGTCCTCTCCTCTCAGCTCTTCCAGAGCCCCAGGGCTGTGCAGGGAGCAGAAGAAGGGAGGTAGAAGTATGGAGCTTGTCTCCAGCCTGGCTGGAGCTGCATGACTCACCCAGCAGCCACGTGAAATGGAGCTGGCATGGGAAAGGCCAGGGGCTCTTCCTGGAAGATTGCTGTGTGCTTGCATCTCCCCCAGTCATCTTCACCAGCACAGGAGAGCTCCTGTGAGAGTGCTGGGCCCTCCTGCAGCATCCAGTAGCCCCTCCTCAGTGGCAGGAGGAGAGGGATCAGCTCCTCAGAGAAGCAGGGCCAAAACCAGCCCAGCCGGTCCTGTGGTGCACCAGAGCATCAGGGAGGCAAAGCCTGAGAGCTCCAGGATCACACCAGACTGGAAGGAAGCCGAGGGGTTTAGAGAGATTCCTGCTCAGCCCCTGCTCTGGGGCAGGATCCGTCCTACCCACCTCACCCCCCAGCTGGGGCAGGAACAGGTGCTGTGGCTGAAATAAACAGGGGATTAAGTGGAAGCAGTGAGGGATCACCCTTCTCTGGGGAGCTGGGAAACACCCCACAGGCAGGATCCTGAAGGGCTCCCCAGCCCCAACACCAGGCTGGGAACAGCCCAGCAGCTGGAGCAGGGCTGTGACACTGGGGACACTGTGTGGACAGGGCTCAAACCCAGCTGCTCACCTCAAGCAGGGCCCAGCAGCCCCACTCGGAGCTGCAATGAGGACACAGCTTGAACCTCAGCAGCACAACCCCCCAGCTACACTTGTCCCAGCTGCAGCCTCAAGGCCTCTACACCCCATCTGCAATTCCCCACATGATCCAGCCCAAATCCTCTTTTCCCCTCACCTCATCACTGCCCCTTTTCCCCGTTCCTCCACAGAGGGACCCACCTCTGCCCCACACCACAGGGGGACCAGCCCATGCTCCCACCACCCTTCCAGCAGCTTGGCAGGGTCAGGAATGACAAAGCTTCTCAAAGCAAGAGCCCAGCTCCCTCCTGGCTCCCAGCCGGGGCACCAGAGCTGGGGCAGCTGTGGGTCGGGCTGGGCGCCACGCCAGAGCAAGAGGCAAACACGGGGAAGTGAAGTCCCAGGAAGCAGCCATGGGCTCAGGGCAGACTGCAAGTCATGCTGATGGGAAATCCCTCCCCAGCCTCCACTCACTCCTCACCCCAGCAGCCACACAGGCTTTGCTGCAG